AGGAGACATGAAACAAATGTGTAATTTCTAGTGTGATCTGTATTACGCCATTTAAACTGTGGTGAAATTTGGTCATAGTTTTTACTGAATGTTAACCAATAGGCTTAAATCCGTGAATACAGATGAGATGTAGATTGAAACCCTATGTGGGCAGTTTTATTTTTGTGGAAGATTTAACAGTGGTGTATTTCATCTTCATCTAGTGAAGTTCCAAGTTAAGCTAACTGAAAAAATAGTATATAAAATATTATTCATATCATTTTAAAGGAAGTATACTGTTATAGTTAACACCGCAGTTGTTCACGTGGGCAAGGTTTTATGCATCCATAAAGCAGATTGCATTTGATCTAATGATACTGAATTAAAGTTAAATTATAGTTAAACCTGTAGGGGGAATAAGGAGGATCATGGAGAGTTTTTTAAGTAGTTTTAATTAATTTTCTAAATATGTTTACTTTGCAGTTCATGGCAAATTGATATTCCTATAGCTTCCCTCAGTGAAACAAGCCTTCCTCAAGCTGTGATAAGTACTTCTCAACATTTAAGTATGTAGCAAATTTTATACCTTTAATAGTATGCACCAATTCATTTTTTTCCTTGCAATGCATAGCAATCCAGAACTTACCCCTGAGATAACAACATACAGTCAGGAAGTCAGACTTTCATTGAAAATGTTACAAACACATTTAAAAATCCAAATTATGTATTTTTTAACATCTTAAACATTTAAGAGTTATTTGCCAAATTCTTAGAAGCTGATAGAAGCATCCCAGTTTAAGAAAACAGAATTATAAAAAGATTCATTTTCAGATGCCTGAAGGCAGCTACTTTTGAAAGATATTTTCATGTGAGTTGCTTTCTTTTAAAAAAAAATATTGTAGTACTGAACAATAGATTTGAATTACAAGCAACACCCTTCACACAAAGACATAACTTTCAACCAGGATCAAATTGAAATCTTATCTGTAGTAATTAGTCAGCTCTAGATAACTGGATGTCATTCACTGCAGATGACTGGTCTGTCCAAATAACATAATGAAATTATTCATCCTTATTAGAAATGTGTTTCAATAAAACACCTTAAAATAATCTGTAGAATTAAAAATTTCCAAGCAGAAAAATCATGCATAGCAATAAAATTTCACCCCCCAAATGGCAAAGCAATTTAAATATTTATGTTAAAACATTAAAAAAGATCAATGCAAAAGTTTAATCATGTAGTCTCAAGTTGCACACACACAGGAAGTATGCTACCCATAAAATCAGGGGAACTAGATTAGCAATCTAGAGACCAGATGGTTGGTATTTACTCGCTGACATAACACCACCAAATGTTCCTAAATTTCTTTTTCAGATTTGCCTTTCACATTACATTATCAGCATAGGACCTAATCCTGCAAACATACACAGTTCAATGAATTTACTCATCTCAGTAGTCCCATTAACTTTAGTACAAGAGACTATACACAGAACTGGGCTGTCAGCTTAGGGTAAGTCTATGGAGTTGTAAACTTTTTTACCTACACTGAATTGGGCAGAGTAAGTCTGGGAAAATAATAAAAAAATATTGTATGTGTGTTTTTCTGCTGGTTTTGTACTTTGCAAAAGAGCGAGCCATTTATGAAGAAAGTTATAAAGGATGTTCCATGTCCATAAACGTATTGCCTGGTTTTGTGGATAACTGTTAATCTTCACAAGGCCTGAAATAAACTGAAACCTTTACAATGCTTCTCCAACCTGAAGTCATGGAGAAAAAAATTAGTTACAAAGTATTTTAACAAATACATTCTTACTACTAACATAAGAAAATGCTGTTTAATTATAATGGCATCTTCTTACAAATTACTTAACCTCAGTAGTCTGTGAAAAATATTTTTGCTTACAAATATTTGTCCAGAAACTTACTTTTCTTTGGCAGGAAAAAAAATGTCACTATTTGCTGTATGCTATTTATAACTTGTCTGAGTTATCTGTGGGAGCTGTCTATTTAAAATACACAGAATTTCACTACTGTTAGTTCTTCATACCATAACTTTCTGGTTTTTCTTCCATTTTCACTTTACTGTCTTTTAAAATGTTGTGTTTCTTCTTGTCCCTAACATTACTAACTTTGTTTTGAGGCATTTACTTTGTCCCTTTGCCCAACATATCTTTTCCCGATCTCTCCTTTCATCACAATCCACTTCTCCTCAATTGCTTGCATGTTTCTCAGTATCTCATTTTCTCATCTGGCTCCTCAGGTTCCTTTCCATTCTATTTTTACATCACTTTCAAAGTCACCTGCCTCTAGGCAGTGTATTTCCTCCCATATTTATTCTTTCCATTTGCACCATCTGTGTGCATATGTAATACAGGCATTTCGTTTAGTGAAAATGATATCATACTGTGTTGACCTCATTAGTGCCCTGAAAATAAGAAATTTGTTTTCCTGTGCTACAGTTTATTTATTGATCACACTTCTAGAAGCCATGAGGGAATTCCTTTAATGTCATAGTTACAGTGATAAACTTGAGTAACCCCTGATCTGCTCTCCTTGAGTACTTACTGCGCTCTAAACTCCCTACTCATACAGATACAGAAGCAGTGTCTCAGTTTTGCAAAACCAGGAATTCTACCAAGCATTTTCATTCTAGGCAGGTCTTTCTAGTTATAATTTGTTTGAATATCTCAAACATTTAAATATATTTACCTGCAGCTATCTGTCCCAAATAGAGGAGAAATCTGTGCTTACCTTAAAAAAAAACACCCAAAAAACCCAAACAAACACTCAGCCTATCTTTTCAAGTAAAATGTTCATTCTTTACTAAGACAAAGCAAGCAGCAACAAACTATAGGTAGGTAGGGAATTATCAACTTGTCAAAAAGAACATTAGAAAAATTCTGTCATACATAAAACTACTTGTATTTGTCTACAGCAGTGCTGTGTTCACCCTCTGGTCAAAAACAGGGCTAGAACACAGATAATCTGGAAGGATGGGAATAAAGCCTTTTGTTAAAGAGATGAGGTTTTAAAATCGAACTTCTGCATTTACTAGAAAATAATGTTTTCTATCAAAATAAAATCTCACAACATCCAGAAAACACCACTTCCTTTAATGCAGATACATAAGAGATTCAGAGTCTCATCTAGAATGCAGTATATTATTCTGGTCATTCATTTTTAAAATGGATGAACCCAAAGAGCAAAATTAGTGAAACAGTCATATTCCCTACCTTATAAAAGAGTGCTGTTCTTCTGAAAGGCTGCATGCAGCATGACCTCTGCCTCTCAAGGGTAAACACTACAGAAAGCGGCAAAATCACAGTGTTGATACAAGAAGAAATTGGTATAAATTGACCAAGAATGATTCTAGAAGCAATCTTCTAAATTGCATCTTACCCATCTGTAATGCAGCTTTTCTTAGAATTCTGGGGACAAAACACCTACTTCATTTCAAGACACAGATCCACACGTTTACAAAAGGGATTCTATGACATGGTTGCTTGTGGTAGCAGGCAAAGAATCGGTGGATTTCCTCCATTCCTGTGCTCCTACAACTCTGGAGTTATACTTCTAATAGCACGCAAGGAGAGGGAGGGGCTACCTACCCTATGGTACAAGGTTCAAATATGCTGCCTTTTTTATTGCTCATTAATTGGATTTAATTGCTATAAGGTTCAAGTAGACAGTATCAGTAAATATTATTAATTCCCATGGAGCCAGCATAGAGTTTCTTTGTATCTTACTGTAAACAAAGTGTCAGGAAAAACTACAAGATGGATACATCAGCCTACCTGAATCTGTGACAGGTCTACATTTGGAATGTGCAAAACCATGACAGAGCACACAACATGTATTCCCTCTCTCTGTTATATGACAATTCTCTTGCAAATATGCTGATCACCTCTATGACATTAGGAACAGTCCTGCTTTTAACAGTAGTTCTACAGACAGAGATATAATAAGGTTTCATTATTCTCTTTCAGATATGACTAATTCAATTTACATACACAAAAGTATTTGGAATTTCACTGTTGCTAAATGTCAGCTATCACCCTATCTTTGCAGAATCAGACCAGAAACTTGCCCTTTTTTTCCAAGCCCACAATCCCTGTAGTAACAGTGGAGTGAAGGAAAGTTACTTTATTTATACTTCAGCAGCCACCATTTTCTGCAGGTTCAATCTTCTATTGCATTTACATTATCCTGTTATCATGAATTAAATTCTGTAGGAAGGGGCCATATTTACACACTTAATCATTCTTAACCTTCAAACCTGCAGTATCTCCTAAGAAATACTTCCATATATTATTAATTTGCTTGGTGAGTATAACCTTTATCACGTTCACCAAGCATAATTACAGATTAATCGGTTGGGTTTGGGTTTTTAAAAAGTTTAGCTAACATTAGCTTAGGCATATGTTAAATTATACAGGAAAATGCAAACACCTTTAAAAACAAAGTTCCAAGAGGGGACATTAATTTAATAGTGAGAATAGAAAAATGGCTTGAATTCCCAGCACTAACATTAATTATGTATTTTCTGTACTTCTGTATCTGAATCTAACCTTCAGTCTTGCAAATAAAGTGAAAGCAGCAGAAATATGTTTTTCAAGGAGCACACAAAGAGAAATAGTTTATAGGAAATTCAGCAGACGAATTTATGTTAAAGGTTATTTCAATGTCACATCTCATTGAAGAATCAAACACTTGCTGGTACTTCATCTTAACGCCTTGAATACAATCCTTTATGCCTCCAGCTCCCTCTTGTGGTGTATCGATGTTGATCTGCCTTACAGACCACTCCTTAAAACATTTAATTGCATCCCTAAGTTGTGTCACCAGCAAATACTATTCTAAAGGTGTGAATGTTCTTCATAACTTCCATGTCTATATTTTGGGCATCAGTACAGGAGATCTATACAGTGCAATTAAGAATTAAAAACCTCTGACCGTGGTTATCTCTCCCAGTATCTTTCACTGTCCCAAAGCATACTATCTGCCCAGCAATAATAAATAAGTTTCCTCTTTTCTTTATTTCATTTGATAGATTATATATATGTATATACAAACAGTACAATATTTTTCTTTTGTGATAGAGAATAAATGAGAGTTTTCATTGCTGGTTGTTCATTAAGTCAACAGATTCCAGTTAATAATGAAAAAAATTAAACATTTAATATCAAAAGCAACTTCAAGTATCTTCTATACATTTTAGTATTCAGTATATAGTAAGGTGGTTTGGGGGTTTTCTTTTTATATCAAAAGCATATTTGAATAGACTATTTTTACTATAATACTTTAGAGTACTATTCATATCAGGCATGGAGTTCAAAATGATGTATCTCATGGCCCCAGCTAGCTCTTCACAAGAACCGCAGGTCACTTGTACAATCACAGCATATGTTTCAAAACAGGGTTTAATCATCAGCAAATTCAAGATGTAATTACCATGTTTAGAAATGCACATTTAGAAATTTTGTTCTCCTACAACAGGTCAAGCTATAGTCCTTGATGTGAAGCAATATACAACACCACTGTTTGTAATACAATACCTGACCCAGGCAAAAATAGTACTGCAGTTCCCAGAGCTATTCATCCTTTAACCTTTCTGTATAAAAATAATTCAGCTTAGGCATATATTGCACTAATTTTATCATCCTGGATAGCTCTCACTCTGCATTATCTGTTCTCTTTGCTTAACTAAGGTTACACTAAGGTTTTAATTTCCATGGAAAACCTGGGAATAGGGCAACAGACACACATATGGTGTGCAATAAAGGGATATCTATAATATCAATAGTAATCTCAGAGGCATTCACAAAGGAAACTACACATTAGATTTAGAGATCATTTTCTCCAGTAGATTCATCATTCTTTCCTGTAACTGTAAGCTTTGAACTTGAATGATGTTTTGTTGATCCAGAATCCTGCGCACTTCTCTACAGGTTTCTTCCATAGCTCTACTCAACTTCTTTTGTTCTTCCAACATGGCCTCCATTAATTTTAGTTTCTTCTTTTGGAAGCTACAGCTTTGCATTTTTCTTTTCTTAACTGGTCTTTCTTCAGTTCTGAAATGTGAATATTTGTTAACAATTAATCTCATATTTATAAAAAACAAAGTGTGTTAGAATTCTGTACTACATTCTTGGCCAAGCTACAGCCTAGTCCTATTTTTAAAACCCTCTGTGTTCTCCAATAAATTCCCTCTCAAGTTCATGCCAAAACATAAGTATTTACTGTATTATTGCATAGTGTTACAGACTGTAAAAAAAAAAAGTTTTTAAATCTCATTGTTTTTAATGAGACCTTTCTCTTCAGAATACCAGGCCCTTTAAAAAAAAAAATCTTCGCATTTCTTACACACTGAATTTATAAACTGTATTGGGAGAGACATTTTGCTCATGTGGCCATTACAACTCCAATTTTAAAGCTGCAGTAACCATCCCACCTGAAGAAATCACTGCACTGTTGTCTGTGGTGGTGAGTTACACCTTATTTTCTAAAGCATCACTGATCCCACCACAGCATACTAGTCTCAGAATCTGCCCTTGCAGATCACTCATTTATATATTTCAACACAAAACATTATAAACAACATAAAAGTTTAGCAGGATACAGCTTACAAGATTCCCTCTTTTCCATTTTCTATCTGCTTTTAGAGGCATTTGCCATCTGCATTTTAAGTTTTTTTTTTTTACTAAATGTATGTGTCACAAACATAGGATACTTCTCATATTTGTGACAAGCTTTATCAAGTAGGATAGCTAACAAAACAAACCATACTTCCCTTCAAACTCCTAACATTTTAGCAGACGTTTCAAACACTCTATAACACTCTGCCTATAGTTTTGTTTTCACTCAATATAAAGGCAAGACTCTGTATTCAATATTGTCATTAATTGCAATTTGGATTTTAAAAGAAGTTCTTCTGAAATTCAAAGAGAGTATTTGTAGCCTTTGGAGAACACCAGATTGCCGAATCCTAAGGCAATGTGTCTGTGTATCCAGTCATGTTGATGCTCCTCTAGCAGACTGTCTCTAATTCTCAGGGTATAAGTTACACAAACATGTACATCCTCATCTGAAATCTGTATAACTGCCACGTGCAATTTGGGAAATGTTTTAAGAATTTCCTTTATGCTGCATCGTGCTGAGTTTCTGTTTTGGAAGAAAGAGATAAACCTAGCAATGAAGACACATCTCAAGATGTGTAGTTCACATGGCCATCCTAACTCATGGTGACAGTGCAACACGTGAATTCAAAACAAGCCTACACCATACAAGTCAGAACATACACACAGAGATCTGTTTCTCTTAACCTGTAATCTGAGAAAGAAGCAAGCCGAATTGTGAGGGAGGAAGAAAAGCAAGTTGAAAGCAACTGTGTAAGTTAACTCCACATTTTAAAAACCTTCAGTTACAGCTGGATAACTTATTTTCTAACTTAAAGTGATAGTCCACATGTTCACTCACACTTTTTGTGACTCCAGACTGGAGTCCCTAACATCAAAGTTATCTGATGATGGGTCTTGAAGTCCCTTCACACAAACAGCAATCTCAGTCATGTTCTGCCAAACACAGGATCCTTTCTAGATGAAAGGCAATAATGAGATAGTGCAGTTGTGAGTAGTATACCATGTCAACACTTTGCAGATTTCAAGACATCCTTGAATCTTGAACTCTTGAGGAATGTGTTTTTATTAATGTGAAGAAGGGGAGTGGGGAGGGAGGTCACTCAGCTGTGGCAGATTTGTATCATAATTTCATTCAAGTTCTTATCCTACTTGACAGGCTTTGTGCAGCAGTGACTGTGACATTCAGATCTCTCAGCAAGAGAAATAAACAATCCTAAGTACCTGAAAGATGTAATGCAAACAAATATAACAAAAAGACACAATCTCTGACATTTAAGAAAGCAATGACCCAAAAAGGGTGAGGTCTAGGAAAAGAAACAAGTGGATTAAATTAAATGCTATTAAAAACTTAGAGAAAAAACTTAGAACTGGTCTTGAGGGAGACTGTTTCAGTACTGTTTAGTCATTTGAATGTGATGTCCCCCTGTGCACAGGTAAGAAAGAACAATAATCTTCCTTTATAAATGTTTTTTGCTGAACAGAGACCACTGACTTACAGATTATTCAAGAATTTAAAGTTACTTGTACAATTCAAAAGGCTTTATCACCATTGCACTGATACAATGATGCTACGGGAAAGGAGGTCCTCATCTTTATGATAAACAAAGCTTTGGAAGGTATACAAAATAAACTCACCTTTGCAGATTCTATATATCATATTTGATTTCAGACATCAAAATTGTGCCTAGAATAAATGCATGCTGCACTCCTCAAACTGTGGGTCAAGTTTGCAGCCTATCATTGAGATGAATCACAGCCAGACAATCCTGAGTCTCATGTGACAGCAAATTTTGTTTGCCCCCATTAACTCTAAGGGCCAGAATTATTTGAAATGTGGTTCTCAAAGAGGTCAAGTGACTGGAAAAGGTCTACAGCAGTCCAAGGACAACACTGAATCTGTTATTCCGAGGTTCCCATCACTGCACTCAGATTCACAAAGAATGCATGCTTTCTGGTAGATAGAGCAAGAAACTTTCTGAAATGATGATGTTATTTTAGCCAAAGTCACCTTTTGCATTTAAACTTGTCTTCACAGAGGATTTAATTATTGAAAACCTGATGGATCTCTATCTTCTTCCTTATACAGTACTAGAAGGTAGCTGTGGTAAGACCTCTTGTCTGAAACAGGTAAGAACTGGCTTCCAGAGCCACAAGAGGGCTTGCGTCTTTTCAAAGTAAGCCCTGGTGAGAATGGTCCTTAATGAGGAATGAGAGAGAAAATCTGAGGCATGTCAATGGTACTGAGCTGCACTGAGTATTGTGCGACTTTCTTGGCAATTGTGGCTGCCATTTGTTTTTCATTTCAATCAGGACCAGAAAAAAAACCAACATGAAAAAAGGAGACAGAGGGATCTGGATTGGAAGATGTAAAATAAGCCTTATTGTTAAGAGAAGAAAAAAAAAAAATCTTTGAAGTGTTGTCCTAGAGTCTGTACAGGATTTTATCTGGTTTTCAGTTAGACAGATGTGGTCCATCAAAAACCTGTAAGACATATAACCATACATCCAAGACAATAACTATCTTGCATTGCTCCAGAGAAGAAAGAGGCAAAACATCTGGTGATGGCAGTTACCTGGGGAACTGTATCGGCAGTATCTGCATTCTGCTAATAACTGAGAAAGTACCTGCTGACACATGCTTGCATAAAATTGGTTTTCAGCACAGAGAAGTTCCCCCAAAAGCCAGGACACAAGGATTCTTCAAGGTCTCCTAAGTACTCTCTCTGTCTGTTTACAATTAACAAACCAGACTGGGAAATTAGCCTTGGTTGAAAAGAAATACTTACTGCAGACACCCCTAGTTTTGGTGGTGTTGCCAATCTTATTTTCTCTCCAGCCATAATGACTATCAATGAGTGAGTTTTATGATCACTCACAAGTCCACAGGAAGGACTTGCAATTTACAATCCTCTCTTGCAGAATAGCTCTTGAAGGAGAGCTCTTGAGAAGGGGTCTGCAAAAGAAGGATCTAAAGAATCTAATTTACGACTAAAGAACCCTCAGCAACATGAAACAAATAAAAGTCCAGTGACGCCTGAAGAAGTTATTTGAATACTGAAGTATTTCCTCAGATATTGAGCCATCTTTCTTGAGAAGTTCTAGGTCTCCCAGAGAGACCTCTCCAGTGTCAATAACTTTTTATAACGGAAAGTCAAGAGGGAAGCGGGGATATGAATACGAGTTCAGCACTGAGTAACTCACCAGCATCAGTATCCTCAGATAGCTTCAGCTAGGAGTATGTCTGGTTTGGCAGTCTATAGGCACGAGCATAAGAAATTATCAATGTCTGCTGTAGCAAACACCAATCAATTCCTGTTGCTGATTCTCCATGTTGCATTCCGGTGCAGCCAACACCTCTGTGGCAACAGGGGTGCAACAGATCCTTACAGCGTCTTCAGCCGCTGCAAAGGCAGCATCTCCCCTCTTTCCCAAGTCTAGTCTCTGAAGGGAGATTTTGAAATACGGAGGAAAGAGGGGTCTAGGAAATCCAAGACCTCAAATACAACCTGTGGATACCCTTGGGTCTCTGGTGGGGCAGGGAGCCTCTGAGAGAATTGGCACTGGTATTTCCCTGACCACACAAACAAAACGTGGAAGAGCTCTGGCACTGGGACCATGTTTCAAGAAGAACCTTGCAAAGCTACTTCTACACTGTGCTCCAAAACAGACAGGTAAGGTTCAAATGAAGGAAGTCAAGGTAAAGAAAGTGTTCCCTCTCATCTAGGAGGCTGAGCAGAAATGACAGTGTGCACTGGGGACCAGCGAGAACAAAGCAAAACCTCCAGATATAATTAGGCAAGACATTATGCAAGTCTCAAATGCATTTGCTGTCTACCTATCTAAGATCAACTTAATTCACTGTTCAATTAAAAGCACCTTGATTGATTGCCTACACTCACCCAAGAAGGCTCTTTTCAGGGATGTGTGTGAATAATTAATGAGGCTGGAGTTGAATACAAAGAGTAATCTGATTACCAAAATACGTTACCTCCATAAAACCAAAAAAAAGCAATTCTTCCTTTCTGCCTACTTCATGGCAAATAGGTCTCCAGTACAACTGATTTCTGGAATGTACGGCTTTCAATAGCTAACAGCTGTTCCTGATTTGGTTGTGCTTTATAAGCTAGGTACAAATATGAGTAGACCTCCATAACCCATTTTTTTATGGAAAATAACTAGCAATGTTCTAGAAATAAGTAACATTGATATTAGAGGTGTCACAAACATCGTCAGAGTTTGAGGACTGAAGATCAGGCAACCTGGATCTTCTGGTAAACTCGGCTCATTCAAATACAATCAAATGCATTCAGGAATTAATGAGGCGCACTCTTGAAGTCAGGTGCAGAAAAGAATCACAAAAATGACTTGGAGGCTGGGCAAAGCACCTTGCTATGATAACAAGACTGCATAATCAGGTAAGATGCACTACATAATGCACATAGGCTACAGCTCAAACTTCTTTGTAGATGCTGCCCATTCAGATTTTAAGTAGCCATGGCATAATTTTAGGAAGATTAAAGGTTTTGCCAAAACTGTTATTTCCTGAATTAGCCTTACCAAATTTTAATGCACTTCTATGAAAAAATTCATGTTTTGGTTAATTCGTGTTACCATTCTTACTCTTCCTCCATCTGTAAACCATCTGTACCAAATTATTTAATCTACATTTAAAAATTCAAGAATACCACAGATGCTATGATCACAGTACACAACTACCTTGAGGCAAAAACTGAAAAATACTGAAAGAGTCTCCAATATACTGAAAAGAAAGATAAATAGAAGTAACATCTGAAAGTTTAATTCACTATATTCACATTAGAAACAAGACACTGGTTTAAGCAAAGAACTAATCACTGGAACAGGTCCCTGTAGGGAGAAGAGTGACTTCTCCATCTTCTGAGCATATCAGATCTAGACTGGGTATCAAGTGAAAAATTTCCAAGAGTCAAAAAACTCATAGGAACAAAGAAGTGGAGGACAACAGAGACATGGGGCTCCCAAGTGCAAGAGTCCTCTGGCAAAGGGAAGCCTGTCACAGAAGCTCCTCCATAACGTTTCTGAGCTCCAAACCAGAATAACTGAATTCAAATACACAGATATGTTTAACAGGAAGTCAGGCTAGATGACACGGTGCTTTTATTACGGTCTATTAATCTATGAAAGTAACTCTTTCACCCCCATTTTCAGTATGATAGAAGTGGCAGAACAGATGAAGTCTGTACCAGAGTCACAGTTTGTATAATTATGTTCTGTCATTACTTTAACAGTGAAAACAATGACTATAAATTAGTCCACAGGGTGAGAAAACCCACTCTTTTTCAATTAAATAAAGTGTTATTTACAGTGGTGTCAGAAATTTTGACTTTAAAAGTTTAAACTGCAGTACAAGACTCCACCACATTGCATTATATTATCTGACCATAGTAGAATAATTGAATTATTGTCAGATATTTTATGGCCATTGCAGTACGACACAAGTTTTGTTGAAGCCCAAGAACAGTGTTAGAACAATACTAAACAAATAGAGGTTGCCTCATTAAAGGGAAATAGGGATTCCAAATGTTTTTCTCATCTGCAAATTGCAACAAATATAAAAATTAATTTTATCCCACATTAATTGTATTATTGCTAACTAGCAAAATTTGGTTTTTGTAAGAAGGTCCCAAACCCAAAGAATTTCAAAGTGCAAAGAAACTATTTAAACTATTTTTAAGCTTGAGAGCATGTATGTATTGACTGAAGCTTACATCTGGACATTTTTCTCTATCATGAAAGCTAAACATTAAATTCAGCAATTTTTTTTTAGGATGTATAAAGATTATAAAGCCAGGTAGTCTCCTGCTATATTCAAGGATACTGTGGAAAATACAAAGCTGACATTCAAAACCTGTGCTTGAGAGTTTAAAGGAATAACAGTAAAGTTTTCAACATTTAAAAAATTTATTTAACAGAAGTTACTGTTTGAGGGGTTTTTTCACTATCCATTGTTGCCATAACATCACAATTTTTATTACTGAAGAAAGAAATTCCACAGTGTAAGCTTACTTTGCACGCTTGACTGATGTGTGTGTAGTCTGATTCACAGAAAAATAGAGAATTTACAGTTGTAAAGTATACAGCTGTAAAATGCATCTATATTTTACATATAGATACGTGTGCATATTTTTCAAAATACCTTTCAAAATAATTGTTTTGCATATCCGTTAAGTACACAAAATGCAAGGGAGATAGAGGACTTGAAACTTTCTTTTAATTTCGAATCCCAGTATTTTCTTTGGTTCCTTTTTTGAATCTTTTAGATCAGCTGTGAACCGTTTAGAGGCAAGGGCATTTACAAAAAAGCCGAGATGGACCCAGATTTTGTATGCTAATTCTTTTCTCTCTTGTTGGCTATTTCAAAGTGTTTTTCAAATACAGGATGACACACTAATTGCTTAAGCTGAAAATTGCTTCTCAGTTCATCATTTTCCATTAGTAAATCTAAAAGAATTATCTTCCTTGTCTTACCATGGCAGCTCTAAATCATTTTAACCCATCTGATATCATTAGCAAGCGCTGTATTTCCTTCTGGACAAAAAAACATTCCCCACTCTTCTCTCATTCAGCAGGCTAAACTGGACAGGTCAAAGCTGTACGAAGTTTTCAAAACCCCCTACAACTGTTGTAACACAACTTCTTCTCTTTCCTCTTTTCCCTGCCCCATTAATACCACAAGTGCCTGCACATTTTAAATCTGATCACTACGCTCACCTGAAATGTTATACTAATCCCTCAGGTGGTATCTCACAGTCAACTTTTTTCTTTTTTTCAACACAGCAGAACTGTGTTTGAACTTGTGAACATGTCCATATCTTGCTGTTAAATGATATGCACAATATTATACTGCACAAAATTCTTTTATAGTTGAGACTGTGAGAGCATGGCTGCATGAGTAAGTTAAGGAGCAGCGTATTATGGAGGTCCTACCACACCAACAGTGGACCTGCCCTTCCCTCCAGCTTCCAAACCCTGTTGCACATCCGTCCTGAGCTGGAAACAGCAGCTCTGCAGCCTGAGCTGCTGCAAGAACAAAGCATGGTTACCTGCCATACGCACAGATTTGAATGACCTGCAGTTTCCAAATTGGTCAAGTGAAGTGAAAGTATTTTTTACTAAAACAGGTTAGGTAATTACCTTGAGCAAAATTTAAAACAAAATCTTAAAAAAACCCCACTGAACATGAAGCCGGCTAAAATGCATTATAGCCTAAGTTTTCCAGATCTTATCACTGTGGAGATAATTCAGTTAGAGTGGCTTAAGTCCACCTTACCTGTAATGAAATTATCTACATGAGAGTGGGAGTCCACCGGCTCACTCTAAAAACTATGGATATGCATTTGTGGGTGATCAGCTTGACCTCTGCGATGGCTTGTGTCTGCCTCTGTAATGAAACCTGGTGCGGTGACCTCTGTCTCCCATTACGAGTCACCTACTGCACAAAAGCCGAGTTGTCCTGGATTTGTCCCTAAACCAAAGAAACTTAACATCTGGCGTTTTTAAAAGTCTGATGTTATCAAATAGTTTAGTGAATCAACTATACCTCACATTTTTGGAAAAGTGATCTTCTAATTAAACATGAAAAAAATATTATTGCAAATCAAACTATGAACTGAAGAAAAAAGTTATTGCCTAAGAAACATGATCTTGGATTTTGCAAATCCTAAAATTAAGAGAGATTGTGTATCAGGGATATCAATTACTTACGATGAACTATGATGAAAAAAATTGTTGCCTGTGAACAAAAAGGCTGCTACAGTTCAAGAATTATGCACCATAACATATATTCAGTTGCCAAAAAAACCTAAAAAAATCATCAGCTATTCAAGAATTATTTGCTTGAATGACTGAATGAATTTACCCTAATTTTGTTCATCCAAGAGTGGGCCTGGAAACAATAATCCAAACTTGTTAGGGTGGTTCTTCTTCCGGCTCAACACCTTCTCAGCTGTGTGACTGACTGATAATTTTACTGTTAAAGCCTCACAGACTCATGATAGGGATCTCTAGGATCAACTTCTTTTCCTGCCAGAAAACTGTAATCAAGTCTTTATTTCACACCACTCTGGATGAAAAATGAGACCAGTAAAGTCTAAAATCTATATCAAGTGCCTTTTGTTAAAATGCTGCCTTCCAGAGAACTCCAATCTTATGAAAAAAGGAAACATATGTTTGCATTCCCAAACTAGCATTTCCTTTGGAAAAGTGACATTCTCGATTGTATTTAAAATGTTGCAATGTACTTTCAAACTGCAGGAGTAGCATTTCAGTGTCCACAGAAATATTTAGCTTGCATCTTTTCACCATTTTACTAATAGCAAAAGCCAGAGAAATGTCATACTCATACCAAAAGCAAAACTAGAGCAAGCCAAAAATTGTCTAAGCAGTATGTTATATCTCTGATTGCACTGCAGGGCTCTCTTGAACATGCCTATACTTCTATTACAAACACACTACCTCATGTGAACAGTGACATGCATGCTGCGTTTTGGCAATATTACACAACTCTCTGCCCAGTCCTCCTACTCCCTTCCAGTCTCTCATAAAGGAATAAAGAAAATGCCCTAATTTAGCAAAGTGGCTGAGGCTGGGGAACAGATCTCATTTGTGATTTACAGAAAAGATACAGCAGCTTTTAGAGAAAAAAGTGCAAGGTTGTCCCCTTTAAGTAGCAGATCCGGTTCATTCTGTGAAATACAAGAAAGGGAGAAAAGCAGATGCTACCTCAGCTTGTAAGAAAGTAAGCTTGATGAGCTCTCCGAATGTTCATCTTCAAAGCACTCTTCCCTTCCTTCATATGTAAACTGGTTATATGGCAAATAGAGAGGCGTGGACTTAGCTGATGGAGACTGCGAGGCCTCCGTCTGTGATGTGGAAGGACCTGGTTGCTGATTTTCATGCATTTTCACATCGCTGTGGTCTGTCACTTTGGATAAGATCCTGTCAATGGTTTTGTAGTAAGGCCAGTCAGGTGCAACAGTTTCACTGTCAGTCATGCATTTTAATTTCCTGTAAGAAAAGGCATACAACATTAAAGCCTATTTTCCTATAAAGGTATGTTTCATACAGATCTTCTATCTCCAAACATTTGTTCTGGTCACATTTAGGAGTTAAGAATAAAATGAGACACTTTTATCTTTCAATCTCCAATGAAACCTTTCTGTTTCTTCTCCCAGTTGTGACCTGTGATTCAAAGTTGCAAGTAAACCCCAAAATAAATTCAATACAAATAAAGAACATTACAACTTCTGATGGAAATAGCATTGTGTTGGTTGTAGAATAACTTTTCTTCCCTTTACAGAGTGCCAGACTAAGCAATCTGACTGACAGCAGTCCCTGACAACCAGACTAGGCAACACATCGCAGCCTTTACCAAAACATGGGCAGCACTGTCCTTCCATACTCTGAAGAATGAATATTTCTTTTCCACTATGAATACAAGTGGCTATAAATATAATTGATATCGTTTTTCTCATATTGCCTAAAAGCTCTGAATTGCCCAGGTAAACATCCTAGTAACAACCATAAGATGTAGATGTCTTACAGAATAAAGATCAGTTGTAAGAAGTAGTATAGAATTTCATTAATTTACAAAAAAAATCCCAATAAAAGCAGTTAATAATGCATTATAAACAGCATGCACAAAAACATTTCCGTGAAAGAAAGGACTATCAACCATGGCCTTACCCTTCACATGCATCTTATTATGAGATCCGTTATTCAGTCCTAATACAAAGTTCACTGCTCTCCCACTTTGTACTCACTGTTATTTTATTTGCTTTGACTTAGAAATAGAAAAATGAGGTGTATAGATGAGTTATACATTTCAAAGGAACTCCAGTGCCCAGCTAGAGTCCTGAACTTTATTTTCATTTGCCTTTTCCAGTTGGGATCTTGTTACTTCAAACCAAAATGCAGCACAGGAACAAAACAGGAAAAGCAAGACCAATGACAAACGCTCTGTTTTCATACACCAGATTCCAATCAAATGAACAAAAAGCTGAACCGAATCTGATTCTCCCAGCTAGCAAGTGGTTGCCATTTGCAGAAAAGAAGGATAAAAACTATTCCTGGACACCTGGCCCACCCCTGTTCTTTGAAGCCCTTCAGGTTTTTCCTTCTCCAAACTCCTCCTGCCCACACCGGTCCTGCAAAGGATAGAATTAAAATAACATGTAAACATTATAAAAATGGTGCCAAGCTTAAAAGTGAGAACTTGAAGTTCTTCCTTCTAAACAACTCTCAGCCTAGGGTAAGGGAAAATCCACCAGTAAGGAAAGAAGGCAGAAAGATTTGCTTAGATTTTAAAGCCATTTAAGGATTCTTCTCTTTTTTCCTTGTCCTTGCAAGGTCTGATGAGCTTTTCCAGCTATTTAGAAATGCACACCATAGTCCTGCATAGCAAAACCTCCACAGCCATCCGTATTTTTATGCCCTCTATGCATTCAAAATTTTAATTTCATACATGTTTCACAACCTGCTGCTGCAATTTCATAGTCAAAGAGTGTCTAGCACAACCTACAAACACATATATAACCATCCAGCACAGATACAAAATAGCTAAGTATAAGGCTGACAGCAACCGTCACTTGATATTATTTTTAGTTCAATTGTTTAGGCTATTGGCATGAAAAACATATCAATTAAACCGCTATAAGCTACTAGCCAAGTCTATATTCCACATTCGTTTGCCCATGTTGAAAGCCCCAATATATCCAAGCAATGGGGCTTAAACCGTTACCATCCTCAGCTGCTCATGCCAACATATTCACCATGGTTGGTCACCCCATGGGAGATGGCAAAAACCCAAGTGAGAGCACATCTCAGCCAGTGCAGAGCCCAACAGCTGCATTAAGACTTCATAGGCCATGGTTTGAGCCTTGAGAACTGCAAAACATTGTGCCAAAAAGGACAGGAAAAGCTCAGAGCTGCTATTCTGCTGACTCTGGAGGCAGACTTGTGTTTGGCGTAGCATTAGCCAGGGCTCCAAGTCCTCATCAATGGAGCTGCTGCCCAGCCAGTCCAACCCTAATCTGTATTAGTGCAGGTGATTTGACCAGTCCCCAGGCAGGACTTTGCATTTGTCCTCATTGAATTTCATTAGGTCCTTGTCAGCCCTTTCCTCCAGCCTGTCCAGGTCTCTGAATGGCAGCCTTGCCCTTGCCCCACCCCCTCCCCAAGTTTGGCATCATCTGCAAAATAGTGAGCATACACTCCACCATCTCCTCCTTTGGGCTGCTGCTATTAAACAGGACATGTCCCAGTATAAACTTCTGCAGTCCTCCACTTGGAATGAGCCTCTAGGTTGAGTACAAGCCATTAACCACGACTCCAATGCAGTGATCTAGCTAGTTTTTCACCCAGCTGGTAGTCCACCCATCTGGAGTATAACATCCTAACTCAGATACAAGGATGTTCTTGGACACCCTGTCAAAAGACTGTCTACTGTCAAGCTAGACAACATCCATTGCTCTAACCCCATTCACAGATATATTCACTTAATCACAGAAGGCAGGCAGGTTAGTCAGGTATGATTCACTCTCAATAAATCCATTTTTAGTCACCGCCTTCTTCTTCATATGGCTGAAAATCACTTCCAAGATGGCCTGCTCCATGATCTTCCCAGGAGTTGAAGAGAAGCTGATTAACTTTTAATTCCTCTTCTTGCCCTGTCTGAAGATGAATTCAGCGGTGGCCTTTCTTCAGTCACCAGGGATCTCCTTCACTGTTCAAACTTTCAGAGGCAATCCCTGACTCACTCCTTTTCCACTGCTGGTATTTCCTCTAACTCTGCTCCAGGCACACCGGCCTGAGACACCTGGGCAGTGAAGCCCAAGATAAAGAAGGCACTGAATATCCTCATCTTTATTACTTGCATCTGCTGTCTCTAAATCACCCACCCCCTTCACCAGCAGGCCCACATCTTGCACGTTTATTCTTTTACTGCTTAGCAAAAGCTTTCAGGAGTTTTCATTTTACCCGAGCAGGTTAGTACCTTGGTTTTTAAGTTTAAGCTCATCTGTATGCCCCAACCCCATTTCTTACTAAATTATCATGATTTTGAAGGAAGAGCTGTAGTTTGTTATTAGCCCACACAGCCATAGGGATGCATCTTTCTAAAACCAGGTATTTCTTTGGCTCTGAATGCATTGTATGGATACTAACGCTTCCACTTCTCACTGCTTACCATAGCTCTGGGCTAAAAAAAAAAAAAAAAGGGATCACTACCAGGAGGTAGGCAAGAGAACTTCGTTAGCTTAAAAGCAGCACCAGCAGCAACCGTGTACCTGCGTGGAGTCTGGCTCATACATAAAGAAAAAAGGATGAAATAGAGGGAGAGATGAGAAGATAAGGGCAAGGGAGTGTCAGTCCTTTGGAAAATAAGTAGGAACGCTGCAGGTGGAGGCAAACAGGGAGAAGAGTCACTGGAATAGTGGGGATGGGTTATCTTTCTGATAACAACAAACCAAATAGCTAACTTGGTAATGTTAATGTCAAGTTTCAGGATTCACTGATTTTTTAACTATTTTTTCTACAACTGCCAGAAGTCCAGAAAACCTAGTGAGACAGCTGAGAGTTTTTGCTTGCATCGAAGTAAGCACAACCCTGGCAGAACTGAAGTCCAAAGCAAAGATGAATTTACTGCTCTAAGTCAGTCACTACTGTAACTCATCACAGCAGGTCTTAGTTGTATCCAGAATGTAAAGTCAGGTTTTTTGTTTGTTTTGTTTCTCTGTGGTTTTTTTTGTTTGTTTTAATGAAAAATGCAGTTGTTAAGAAGAAACAGGACATTAGTAAGGGTGGGATGCAACAGTCCAGAAATGAGAGAGGAAGATGAGCCAAGCATTCAACACTTTGGAATTGGGCAAACCACTGCCTGAGTGAGCAAGCCAGGCAGAAAAAATAGGAAAACCTATTTTTCCAGAAACCAGGGAAAGTGAGAAAGTCAGCAGAGCTTGCAAAATAAATTCATGCTGAGTTTATCTAGACCTGTTGCTGTTTCATGAGGCTCTATTAAAATCCAGCTGAGAGCAGAGGCAACTGAGAACTCTCTCCAGAATCTCAGGGATCAAAGTTGAGTTTCCAGTGGACAAAGTACGAAAAACACTGTCAGCCCAGTTAATCTGAAAGGTGATTGTGTGTCTTATTGGAGGGAAGTGAAGAAATTAATGGGCTTTGAGACCCTACTGCCAAAACGCTCTCCTGAATGGACTGAGACACCAGTCGAGTAATTTGTGCTGCCATTGACCTTTTTTCAGACTTTATTCTCTGTGTCTATTAATACACCTTTGAAAATAAAATTACAATATTATGTTCAAGAGAGTTTATTTTAAATCATCGTTATTTAGTCAGTAAAAAGCAAGCAATCTGAAACTTTACCTTTTTTAAAATCTTTGCTCAATACACTATTGCTTTTTTATTATTATTACAATAGATGATATTACTACTTGCCTTAAGGAACGGATACAAGATCCATCTCCTGGGGTTTCTGAGAAAAGCTTTCAAAATAAATAATAAATAGCAACTGTTCATGGACCAATCAACGGTGAGGAAAAGAAAGATGTATGAAAGTACAGTACTAAGTTGTGCATCTGCTATAAATTATTGAAATTAAAGAGAAAGATGTTAAAATATTCAAATTTAACTTTCTGCAATAATTTGGCTACACGTATATTTTATCATTTGCTGTAGCACAGGTCAAATGTTCCAGTTGCTTAATGCCATAGAGTATAGCAATGGATTACCCAAGCAACAATGTTTAATTGCTATCATGTACACATGAAAATAAAAAATTAGACTAATCTTTTATTCAAATCATGAGACTGATTCAAATTTACCAATCATTAACATTAATTGACTGCAATTCAAATCAAAAAGCAACAGCTGCATCCTGTTTCCTAGGCTTTGGGGAGGGCGATGTTTTTGAAAATAATAAATTTGCATTCACACAGTTCTTATTTTTAAACACCAGAGAGAATCAGTCAAAACTGCAGGCCACTGCACAAGCTTTACAAACCTTGCTTCTTTTTACAAGTGTGTTGTCAGTGGAAATACTATAACAGATACAGAGCACTGTTACACATTAAGATCAGCGTATTAGCGGTGAGAGGACAGTGCTTTCTTTTAGAAGGACTAATTATAGGTTTATATGTGCTGAATGCCCCAAGTAGCCTACATAATAGAAAGAATTCAGCACATGCTCTGAGTGATGCTAAACTGCAAGAGCTGGCACGCTAATCTCAGCAAAACTTTTGATGACCAGCACATCAGAAAGCTTAACTTCGCATTCCAGCAGGCTTGGCTCAGCCCTTCTTCCTTCCAAGGCAGATAAATAGAGAGGTTCACGCAGCTCACGGCACAGGTATCTTGAACATTAAAATCCTGGTGGCTGATCTATCCACAGCAGATATTTCAGATTCTACTGCAATTCCTAAAAGCAGCATTTTACTCAAATGCACCTGCAAGAAATTTTTCCTTCCACCTGTGGTGCTGTGCAGAATTTTCCACCCAGCCCATTTCCACAGTGGATGAAGTGCGCCTTTAATATATGAGGCTTCAGTAAGAATTACTTCAGGTCACGGTATATTTTCCCCTGAATAGTTTCCTGCAAAAGCACTTGGAGTACGTACGGTAATGCAGAGGAACAGAGGAACTGCTACCGGGTCAGCCCACCGTCCCGCTGCATCACTTCTGGCAAAGGTCAGTGCAAACCACTTTGAGAATCTTTTTGATGGACAGGCTTGGGGGGGACGTTTGCCAATAAAGACACTTGCTTACTTTTCCATCAACAGCTAGTAATATCCTGAAAACCGCTGTCTCTCATAACTGTATCTAATTTAAAGGCAAACAATGTATTTTTATTTAATAAATCTACACTTTACTAAGAAATATAAAACAACCTACTGCTCTCCTGGTGTCAATGATTTTTCAGTGGTAATGAGTTCCACATGCTTACTATGCAGTGTAATACAAATTTATATTACTTTACTTTTACATTTCTTGCCTTGCAATTCCAATGCATAACTTCTTGTATTACAGCAAAAGAAATATCTGCTTTATATTCTGAAAAATAGTACTGTATATTTTTATGCATCTCTAGAACTCCTTTAAATTTATTTGCCTTCTTTCCAAGCAAACCACAAACTTTTCCATTTCTCTTAATAAAGAAAGCTTTCCACATCTCGGCCTAGTGTTTTCTAAAGATCTTCCCATTCTCTTGTCACCTCGTTGAAACATAGAGCAGTTAAAAATTAACACAAGAATTCCAGAAGAAAATAATGAAATAAATAGATTTATATAATGGCACTTAAACATTTGAATAATGTTTTTACCTCAGATGTGGAGGAATGGGAAACTCTCACCCTAAAATTGCTTTTGTGATGGATGCTCACATGCACTGAACTACACCTGAACTAATGTTATTTGGAACCAAAAATTCCCTGTAGGATCCAACTGTACCCAGAACCAGGGTGAATCCTCGGGCTGAGCCCATACTGAGCCCTGTGCCACCCTTGGCACACACATGGTGGCATTAGCTGCAGTAACTGCAACAGTTACTGGCTAAAACCCACTCCTCTGCTGCCTATGGATATGTTTGTCAGACTTTGACTCCTGCACAATGGGTAATGGCTTGCACTGAGCAAAACATGCAAAACAATATTTACAGAACTGCATCTTAAAATGCTATGGGATCCTCAGGCTGGAAAGCACCATTACAAATGTGCATTTTAGATCCTTTAACATTTCATATCATTAACGTCTGTCTCAAGACATGCCACTTTAACCACTTGGTTAAAAGGACTGGTAAAAATATTCAAGCGCTGCTTTTTCTTTTATAGAAAAAATAAGTATACATGCATATATGTATGTATAGCAATTTGTAGGACAGAAATTTTATTTTCCTTCAAGAAATTGTGGCACAGCACTAAATAATACCATTATCTGATTAGATATTCTAATCCAGTTAATTTCTGGCTGTCAAGGTAAGGCTATAGACCACAGCATCTTTGCAACACTGTAAACAGTTGCCGAAAAAAGTATTTCTGAAGTGGTGGGAAGAAATAACCGCTGGGGTGCAGAACATCCCCCTCATTCCCACTGCTGGTGCTGCCTTCTCCCACGTCAGACATACTAACCCTACGTAATCATTACAAAATATTATCTCAAATTGAGCATTTTCCCACTCTCGGGACCTTCTTTTTCAGTTTACGCCACAGTGCAGTGATAAGGCACAGAAATACAGTGAAGTAAAGCATCTTCCTCAAGTATCCTCCAGGCTCCAAAACGTGGATTAAACCGCAGCTGCCTCCCAGCAAAGCCAGCAGTCGGTGGCAAATTGCATCATTTACAGTTTCATCACAACGCTTCCCATCCTCACACACCAACTAAAAGTACTCAGAAAACTAGAAATTGTGACTCTCGGCTTTTGTTTATCCCTGTTCTCTCTACCAACTCGCCTTGAAAGCAAAGCACACAGGGTGCTTTTTGGTAAGAACAAACAATAAGAAAGATGCATTTCACATCCAACAGCACAAAATGAAACAGCCCTGTGACAGTGCAAGGCAGTTTTCTAACTCTCCTAAATTAGCATCTTACTCAATAAGCAGGGAGCTGCAGTGCCCTGCAAAATAGAAAGCAGCATGGCAACACGTAACAGAAGCGATCTTAGAAGTTCACAGAAACACAAGAATTTTTTTTTTCTCGAAGTGCTGTTCCCATACATCCACACAGTGTATGCACGTGAGTGATTTTTATTTCTTCCCCTCCCCCGTTGTAAATTTAAAGTAAAAACACTAATTAGAAAAACTGAGACGGTCTGATTGATGACAACACTGAAAATTTAGAACAAAGGCTGACAGAAATAACCTATTCCTCTTGGCAATTACGGCACTTAAATATCGCGCAGTGCTGCTAGACACCTGTAAAATCTCAGTGCCAGGAGATGCATTTCTCAGCAGGGAGGACTGCAGATTTTGCAGCCTAAGCAAAGGCCTGGTAGCCAACAACTCCCGACTTCTACATCTGCAGCCCAGTGTGGATTGCTGGGTGATGCTGGGCAAAAATACATCTTACTTCCAGCTTTCTCATCTACAGTCTGGATGAAGAAAATTGTAAGGACTACAGCAGGGTCAGTACAATATTTTGGAGACATTAACATTTGCTACAAAACATCCAGTTTAATATTATGGGAAATTATGTTAAATACTATGCTTGTGGATCATACAAATGTAGAAGGACATTCAAAGTTAAGGGGTTTACAGGATTTCCCCTAGTTTTCTATTTCATGAGTAGTCTCTGCATTAAATACAGCAAGGGTGCCTTACAGAAAAGCGAGCAGTTTTAACATGGTTGCCTGCTGTAATAACCTTTTTTATTATTAATACGAGCTTTGAGGAGAGATTAAATAAAAGAGTCACATATTTGATTTTCTTGCATTACAAGCACATAGCTCAAATCACCACTCAGGATTTCCAGTATGAGGCAGTTTGTGCCTCACAGAGATAAGGAGGGGAAAAAAAGGAAGAAAAAATATGCAAATATTTCTGTTAAGTTCTAATTATTTTTTTCCCCTGCAAACAACAAATGCACGAATGCCTCGCGTTTTCTAAAGCCAACTTCCCCTCCTGACACTGCCTGTTCTTTATCATCCCCTGGTAGACACCTCCGCCCTCCCCCCGGCTCCTCTGGAGCAGCCCTGACGGTGCCCATCGATTCTCCCTCTGCAGATACCACAGCTCTCTCCCTGCTGCTGCTTATAATTATAGCAATGTGTGTCACTCACTAATAAGATATTCAATTATTCTTGGCCCCGTGAAGTGTAACCCTTCAACTCACAAAACCAAAATTTAGGAGCTTCAGCCCCCACAAAACATTATTCTGTGTTTTTTTTTATTATTATTTTTTTTTTAAACTTTGCCTTGCAATACCGAGTCTCACTGGCCACTTCAAACTGCAGGAGTTTCACTGCAAGGAACTGCTGCCAAGATAACACAATCAGTCCCCTCAGCAAAGAGAAAAAAAAAATAAAATAGCTCCTTTCCCACTAAATACATTTCCATCCCTCTGCATCATCATAACAACGCTACTAATTATAAAGAAACAAAGTTGTCCCAGAGTTTGCCACGAAATGGGCGAAAAAAATTAACAATGACGTAACAGCGCTGGCAAGAGAGAATTTTAAAAGCGATATGAACAATCTTTAATCTTTTATCGACAGATTTCCTCTAGGAGACTTCTTTCTGAAAGGCAAAAATCACTGCGTTGCCCCTGCTAAAATCTCTTAAAATAAAAAGAATGAACTGAAGCTTACCTGTACTGGAATGTCATATTTGTAATTTTTATCTTTATTTCCTCTCCGTGGCGAATTTCTCCAGTCATTTCAAAGAGTTTGTTAGCCATTTTCTCATAAACTTTGGCATTCCTTTTAGTTTGTTTCAGCTCATCAAAAAATTCTTCCCAGACCAGCATTAAACCTCTCATTTCTGCATCAGTCCAGTTTCTGGCCCTCCTGTGTTTCTCAGTCTGAGAAGAGACAATGTAACTGGGAATTTCTGCTGCAGCCATTGCTGACTGACCTAAAAGGGTTTTAAAAGAGGACACTTAATATAGATTGAGTTTTTAGTTTAGGTTTTTTGTAGTGCAAGACATGCATATGTGGAGAAAGAATTTGAATGACAACAGAACATATGAAACCTTTTTGCAACAGCTTGAAGCTTGAGTGCACAAAATGGGGCCTACATCTGACAGGCAGGAATTTAGTTAAAAGCTTTTAAACAGAGAAACGTCATTTTGATGTCACGTTTCCATAGCAACAGAGCAACTGCATAAGCTACAACAACAAAAACCTTTTAACTGAAAGCCAAAGAATCAGGACAAAGTTGACAGGCCATCAATATTAAAGCTTTTAAACACTTTAGGTTTAACAAAAAAAAGATCTATGCAGCCTTTGAGAAGCTACTTTTAAGTTTCTACTTCTTTTTTAGCTTTCCCTTACCTTTTAGGCAGACAATCTGCTAGCAGGGGGTCATGGTCGCCTGAACGAGCTTTTAAGTTGCGCCTTGACAGACTCTCTGGGAGGTTGCAAGGACTGAGGCCGTGTACACAAAAAAAGCTTTTTTTTTGCAAAGATATTCTGCAAAAAAAGCTTCAGCCAGCTTTATGAAAACTATACATCTCTAAGCTAATAAATGTTTAAGCAGGCAGGCTCATTAAAAAGGAGCCTGTATCTGGGTTTAAGTACATGCACAAAATAGTATTTAAGTGTTTAAATATAGAGAGAAATGTATATACAATTTCAATATAAAGCCACTTTTTTTTTCCCCGAGATGTTTTGCTGCTGATAAGCACACACTGCAGTCCTGTCAGGATGAATTTGCCTTTGTAGGTATGTATTACTGTATGTGTATTTTGTATTCCTAGTAATTTAGATGCTATTTATGCAGCCTGTGTTCTGCCTTAGGACTGCAGTAGAAGCGTTTCACCTGCTTTATGGGGAACCTAAAAGGATTATTCAACGAGTTAAAAAAAGGCTGCGAGATGCTTAGAACTGCGAATAAATTGCTTTGCTGTAAAACAAGCATTTTGAGCTGGTTTCTAGATAGGGCTAAATCCTGCCAGCAGTTATACCAGAGGAGCACCGCTTATTCATCGTATTAAATATTGTGCAACACAAGCAGTGGGCCAAATTCTGCCCCCGCTTACGCTCCTGCAATCTGACAATAACGTTTCACAAAACGGGGAGATGCATGAACTGCATTAATTCGAGCAGTATGGCCAGCTGAAGGGAAAGACGTTAATTTCCTACAGTCCCACTATAACCGTGTTATGTAAATCATAAATAAATAAACCACGGACCTTTCTTATTATTATTTTCTGTTTCAGCATATAACAGCAATAACGACCTCGCTGCAGGGCATTTCCTGAAGATTAATGACAGGCAGGGGTTAATGGCCTGAGGCTCACCCAGTCAGTCGTTAATCCCCAGGAAATGTTCTGTGCCTCAATCCTTAATGCTTAAGTATCCTATAAATTGTAAGTCTTCTCATAACCACATCCTTGATCTTAACAATAGTTTAAAAATGCACAGCTTGGTTTGCATCCTGGAAATGGCAAAGAAAGCACATAATGTTCCTAAAAGGTACGCTAGTAAAATTTGTAGTATTGCTGCCTTCTTTCTATTTTATTTATTCTATTGCTTATGGCAAAAGCCACAACAGCATACTGCTGAACAAGGAGGGGGAAATCACATATACTGTTCATAGGAACTTCCACTGATCCAACCCTGAACATGTCTGTGTCAGAAATATCCCTGCTGAGTCACTGCTTCCTCAAAAAAAAAAAAAATAAAGAAAAAAATCCCCTGGCTTCCAGATAACTACTTTTAACTACTAATATGACAGCCTAGCAACTATTACCTTTAAAAATGTGTAAATAGCAGCATATGTTGTGCTGATGATCTTGCATGGTTCGTCTCTTGGGTGGCCAGCTGGGAGACATCACATGATCAGGGACAGATGGTGGTCAGAAGAGGATCAGCTGGTGACACGTTCATTTTATTAATTTATTGTTTTGTTTTGTTTTGAAATTCCCATCACTTAACCTTGGGCTCCACACAGCTCTGTTAATAAAACCCCACCAACCTCGGCTGGCTGCAGTGGCTGGGGATCACCAGGGCAAGTTTTTGGAGGCAGTACAGTATCCGAGAGGAAACACCACCGGTCTCCTGTTATAGCAGTGGGTCGGACTTGGGATGCACGCTACCACAGAGCCATGGTTGCTTTTCAACCCTTAAGCATCCATCAGATGTTCATTTTTCCCCTCCAGACTTTAATCCACCTATGTTCTGAAAATGCTGAGTAACACCACAGAAACCTATAGCAAGATACATATACACTGTAAAAACCCCAAAGACACGTATGGTCTCTGCTTTAAGGTTTTTTTTTTAATCCAGTTTCAAGCACAACAACCAGGGCAGGAGAGAACCTGTCCAGCTGTAACAAGTTTTTTTGTGATGGCCCACAACTATTCCTCCCCCTTTTCCCCAACATGTGCCTGGCATATGTGCAGCTGCTCCCTTCCTTGTGCTGTGTCTGCTGGGACCGTGCCCAGCCCCTGGCCCCAAACCTGGGACCCTGCAGAACGGGAGTGGTTGTTTCCCTGTACAATTCACATCTCTGAACTTTTCTATATACTGTTTCCTATTAGTGTAATTGACAGATTGATATAGTGGTATAGTGCTATTTAACATCTGTTAAATAAAAGAAATGCTTTCTAATAACACCTCCCTTGTACCCCTCCCCTCAGCACCAGAAGGGAATCCGAGTTTCCAGGACTCGGGTTTTATTCTCTCCCCTGTAAAAGTTGTTGATATTAATGATGGAAACCCCGTGCGCCTCCTCTGCCTCGCCAAAGCACATGTTGCCAAGCAGTTGATAAAGTGACTGTTTTCCTACGTGGAGCTGAAAGCAAGGACAGCTTTTTTACCCCCAAATAATCCTCTGCAGTCCTCACCAGAGCCAGGGGAGGAAAAAACACCTCTCCAGGCTGTGCCTCTCTCTGCTGATGTTCTGCAGATCTGCTCTGTCCCTAGAAGCTGCCAACCACTCATTCTGGCCCCAGCTAAGACAGGACATTTGGGGAAGAGCAGCCCTGCAATGGGAGAGCTCTCCCTCCCCAGCACCAGGGCATTCGGAGGAGGAACTCCATTAGCACGCAGTGGCTTCTCGCCCCTCTCAAGCTAAAGACCAGACAAGAGTCATCATCTGCCTCAAGACTGGCTGGTCACCAAACCCAGGATAACTGCTGGCATCACAAGCTGCACCTCTGCCAGACCCCAGGCACTGACACCCCTCAGATGTTCGGCTCTGACATCTCTGCTGATGGCAGAGTCCTCCAGCTTTGGCCTCCTCCAGGGTGAGCACCAACCTGGCACCGGGTGCCTTGCAAGCAACTGAAGCTTCTACTGTGCTCCTGAATAAGGATTATACTTCTCTTGGAAACCACTGAAATACATAATAGAACTTCTGAGGACACCTTTGTAGATTACTTCCCTCTGTAGGAGAAAGCTGCTGTTCTCCTCCACTCTCCTGCTGACCGCAGTCCCTCCTCTGATGGGCACTGCAACAAGTCTAGAAGATATCCCTACGAACAGCAACCTCAGCGGGCCTGAGGCTCTCACCCATGCCCCTCCTTTCAGTGCACACCTGCTCCTAAGAGCTCAGAGAAACATGAATTTAATGATCCTCTTGCAAATCTGTTCTTTATATCATCTGTATAAACACCCTACCTTTTTTTGCAATGATTATATATCAGCATGAATAATAGCTCTCCCAGCTGTTCCACCTTTCATGGTGATCGCTAAAGATAACAAACCCCAAGCAGGGTAGAAGGGTTTCTAATTGACATCTAACCAGATGTGGGTCTGAGGAAGTTTGCCCATAGATGTTTCTATCACAGAGTTCAGACAACTCCATTAATCCCAACATATCCTGTTGATGATACTTCAAGTGATCTGTGCTAACCGGCTGTGCATACAGCCTTCAGCTTTGCAAGTGTGGGCTAATGCATGCCAAATAAAACTTCCTTTACCTAACTTTTGGGGAAAGGGGCTTTCCCTTGCATTTGCAAGGAGATAACAGCTCTAGTCAGTCAATTACCAGGACTCAACCCACAACCTGTAAGCCATTAAACTGTGATTACAGGAATGCATGCCTGATCCTGCCGATGGGGGCTGTGGTAGGAGAAGTCAGGCAGCACCTTCCTGGCAAATCAGAATTTATTCCATCAGGACACAAGAAATTTCTGCAACTTCTCCTAAATTGTGTGTCTCCAATTCTCCAACCTGTGTATCTGAAACCCCAATAGGCAGCTGTCTGTAGAGGTGCAGACACACAGGTCACTGCCTCTTTAGATTTCAGAAATGGAGGTACATTTGTTTTGGGTCAGGTAAGACTTGAGACCAATTGGTCTGGTCCCAGTTTTAGCACTGCTGGCAGCAAACACCTCTTTAGGCAGCAACTCAGAGGAGTGATACCAGGAGGAGGAGGTCCCCGCTGGAGGGCCATCAAAAGCATCCATCACCCCGCAAAAACATAGGTCCAACTCTCTAAAACACATGGGTATATCAGTAGAGCATCCTGTAATGTTTTGATTGCATATAACTCAAAAAAAATCAAAGCTGCTTGCTCCCTTTTGTGTTTAGAACAAGCTGTTGAAAGCAAGGTTGTCCAAAGCCCAGGCTTGTCACTGCTCCTCACAGTCCTCCAGTCTGGCCCACCAGGAGCCACCTTGAAAATGGACAGTGGCTGCAGAGCATGTGTTCATCCTCTGGTTATTTCACTGCACACCTTGATAATTCAGATTAAAAAGGTGCAAAAGTATGTGCCTGTTTAAAACCAAAAGCATTTGGGTTTTGCATCGCAGGGGGATACTACGTTTTAAGTTCAAAAAAAAGCTGTCTGCATGCATTGGGACGTTGTCTTCTTGCCCCCATTTGGCTACCCACCGGACTAAAATACCCAGTTTCTAAAATCTTACTGAAAATTATGTTTCTAGTGTCTCTGATCACTGCAATCAGAAAAGAAGGACAAATGCAATGAGAGCAGAAATACTCTGCCACTGCTGCTGAAAAGCTTGGCCAGAGGAGACAGGCAGGGAGAGGCGAGCACAGAGGAGAAGCTGCCTTCTTTCCGCCTCCATTAAACCAACAGGTCCATGGCAGAGAAGCTGCTGTGCTCAGGGGGTGCTGGAAACCAGGAGCGCACCCTAAGGTAGGGAAGCACCTTGCAGAGAGTGGCGTTGGGCTTGGGAACTCCGATGAGGTCCACACACCCTTCAGTCTGCTGTTCTCCTTGGGTGATGGAGTCCTGTGGGTCGGTAAAGGCTCAGAAGCTTTAGAAAACCGTAAGATTTGTGAACATGGAGGCATCAGTGCTGTAAAACTGGAACCACAGCTCGTACTATCCTAATGCCTGTGAGGGAAGTTTAACGATACAACTGCTTTGTAAAGGAGGCAAAAAGCTGCCCAACC